TTCCCAGAGGTGGAGTGACCCTTTGAATATGCAATGGGATGAAGTCTTGCTGTATCACTGACAGTTTTTGAAAAATAGTAGGCGGTATACAGTCTATACAGCACACTATTCAGTAAAGTTAACTATTCTGACCATAACCAGTGTTGTTTAGGTGTAACATTTTATTTTCTGAATTGAATTGACGCGTGTTAACGCGTTTTATATTGCTTGCTATCGACAATCCTGCAACACCGAATCAATCTCTATTAGTTTTTTAAGATTTTTTTCTATCAAGCTTCTGAAGAGGAGCTGCTACTGTTAAAGATCTAAAACGCTTCCCTGCTGCTTTAACAACCCCCAGCGATCACTTTTAACCTCAAGTGACGTCTATTGTACTTATGAATGGCCTTAGAAGAAAGCGACCTGTAGCTCTGAAGTCTGGTTTTAAACAGGAGCAGAGTTAAAGTATCTTCCCCGCTGGTGCGCTGTGCTTCTGAACCCCGTCGAGAGGGTCTTCTGCACCGACGCACGCTGCAGGAATATGGGTTAAGCTCCTCGGGGCAGGCCCTTGAAGTCATTTGACTGGATGTATAAATGTTTAGTGCTTGTTAAGAGCAGATAAAAGTCTTTCCTGTTCAGTGCGAGGAACAGATGGCTCTGATAGTGTCGACATCTTTATATACTGGACAGGGTCCTTAAACAGTCCTTAAAAAAAGTTGGAAATAGCTAGAACTGCACGATTAATCGTGAACAGATCTTGATTCAAACACCACCGCGATCTTGTTCTTGAATGACAACAAATGTGTCTATTAAACCTTTGACAAAATCCTGCCGGAGCATTTGATTGTCAATTGCATTGTTATGCCTCTAGGTGGCGGAAAGTGCCTTAAAAATGTATTTGTCGTTGAATCATTCATTTGAGATTCGTTCAAAAATGCTGATTCATCCAGTAATGAAGCAAGCAAAGTATGAGTGAGTCAATGGCTCCGTCCGAAATTGCATAGGCTACTCTCTTGAGGTACTTATTTTGAATATGTAGTTACTTCATGACAACTAAAAAAGTACTATCTATATAATATGAATGTAATGTGGACATACTGCATTCGCCATGTTGTCATTATTATGTGACTTACCAGCATCAGTTGTGTCGCTTCAATGCCATTCATAAATCCTCTCCCATGGCCTCATGGGATAGTAGAGTGTCCATCGTATGTACACTTCCGAATTTTGCCGGAAGAAGTGGGTCATCCGGGTACTTTTTACGTATACTACTTTCAGTAGTGTGAATTTGGACATACTTCATCTGTCACATACTGTTTTTCACCTACTATATGTTAGGCAAAGTAGGCATGGGAAGTATGAGATTTCTGATGCAGCCATTGAATCATTCATTCAAGAGATTCGTTCAAAAACACCTATTCATCCAGTAATGAGATGAGTGACTCATTGAATCATTCAAACAACCCATCTTTTTTAAATTAAATATTTTTTTATTAGACTGCAGCACTTAAAATTTTGCATGTTATTTTATTTAGGAATTTTCTGTTCAGAATCGTGATCTCCATTTGATATAAAATAAATCACGATTCTCGATTTATCTAGAATTGAGCAGCTCTAAAAATGGCCTATCATAAATTATATAAATAGTCTTAAATTTGGTGGGGAACAATATAAATCGTGATATAGCATATTGTGATTAATTATTCAATTTCACAAGGCAAGAATTTAGGCCATGTCCACACTAATACGTTTTCGTTTGAAAACGTATATTTTTCTCTCCGTTTTGGCCTTCCGTCCACACTGAGACGCCGTTTTAAGTCAACAAAAACGTATTGTTTGGAAAACGCTCTCCAAAGTGGATACATTTGAAAACGCCATTTTCGCGTTGTAGTGTGGACAGTGAAACCGGAGGTATTTCAAAACGATGACGTAAGTTTAGTCATGTGATCCATGTAGTACCAATAGATATTCATGTTTATCGGTATTGTGCCTGTTATGTGTTATTCATTTTTACACTATTGCTAAAATATGTTACTTTTAATGTTACTTAATATGTGCTATTCTTCATAGCACAGTACTGCAAAGATAACAGATAATGTAGTCTACTCACATTTGCTGTCCTGCGGCAAAACAGGAGAGCAGTTGCGTTTTAGACCAAACATATGGTGACTGAATGCAGTGTTGTAGTACTCGAGACTCGGACTCGTCTCGGACTCGGTCTCGAGACCATATTTTAATGGTCTTGGTCTTGTCATGGACTCGTGTCTATTTGGACTCGGAATTGACTCGTACTCGAACATTTTTTTTTTAGGACTCGGAATTATTCCCGAGTCCACTCGAGTTCAATTAAAAATATTTTTCATGATTATTAATGTATGATAATAAAATATTTCTTGACACGCCCAGTGATTGGTGATTCTCTAGTGCGCAACTGCGCATGACAACTTGTAATAAAATTACTTTTAACACCACCTACTATGTGGCCTTTTTACCCTAAACTGATCATATTTTTTAAACTCTGAGTAAATTCAGTAAAAAAAAAATAAAAATAAATATTTCTCTAAGTAAATAAAAGTAAATTAGGTAATCAACCCTCACTGGTCTCTCAACCCTCAACCCTCACTGGACCGTCTCTGGTCTCGGACTCGACTCGGACTCGACTCTCTATGGACTCGGTCTTGACTCGGACTCGACTCTCTCTGGTCTCGGTGTCGACTCGGACTCGAGTGAGGTGGTCTCGACTACAACACTGACTGAATGCGACCTGGACGCATCCGTGATGGTGAGATATTTTCTAAATAAAATTATCCTGTTAATGTGCGATGACATTATTATTTATTTTCCCATCTGTATCATCTCAGTGAGCTTTTGTGAAGTTTCACGCATGCGCATTAAAGTGAATTTAGAAGTTTCTCATCCACACTGAAACGTCGGAAAACACCTGAAAACGCTAGTGTGGACGGAGAGCGTTTTTAAACGAAAACCCCGTTTTCAAATGTATCCGGATTAATGTGGACGTAGCCTTAATTAACCTGGCAACCCTGTAATATTTCTGCTCTTCCATAAGCGCCATCTACTGTTAGAGGGTGAATTTGACGAGAGTTTTGCCAGGTCTAACAAAATATGATTTGAAGAAAGGATTCTCACAATAGCAGTTCAACATATCTACTCGCACAAAAAAAAAAAACTAAATAATACTGATCCAAAGAGATCAGAGGAACTACAAAGATCTTAAGTGTGATGAAGGAGAACAGAGTTGTCTGTTCTCTGTTGTCTGTCTTCAAGTAAACGTTTTTACAATGGCTAATAGACAAAATCCTCGCACTTTGATGAGTGATTTACCCTGCTATACAGCTTTTACTTTGATCGCTGTCAAGCGTGGTTGAGTTTGCACAGATTTATGACCTCAAACACTGCCAGAGAAAACAATTTTACCAATAACATCTTCATACCTCCTGGATGAACTGACAGATTTGTGATCAAATGCAAATGACCCCTCAAAAAATATAATTTCTTATGATTTGTTGATATTCCGTCACATTTTTAATGACTCGACATTGTAAGTTTAGCGTTTTATGAGAGAATGTAGCCTACCATTTCCTGACTGTGATAAAACTAAACTTTGACTTGCCAGTTTAAATAAAGGAGCCTTGATACAGAGATCACTTTTGGGATAACTTTTGGCATTTAGCTCAATAGACTATTTTTAACATGGCTATTCCCTCTGTTTATATGGGTTTCTTGTACTAAAAAAAAGCAAAAATGGGTAGATGATGAGTAGGATTAGGGGTGTGGTTAGGGATCAGGGGGCGGAGATGGGTAGGTGTGAGCGATTTCCTGGATTTCGTGTTCTGTAGTGAGGACCATCTTGATCCAGGGAGCGGAGTTGGATCCAGATGTAAGGGGTGGAGATGGGTAGGATTAGAGGTGGGGTTAGGGAATCAGGAGGTGGAGATGGGTACGATTAGGGGTGGAGTTAGGGATCAGGGGGTGGAGATGGATAGTATTAGGGGTGGGGTTAGGAATTAGGGAGTGGAGATGGGTAGGATTGGGGGTGGTGTTAGGGATCATGGGGTGGAGATGGGTAGGATTAGAGGTGGGGTTAGGGATCAGGGGGTCGAGATGGGTAGGATTAGGGCTGGGGTTAGGGAATCAGGGGGTGGTGATGGGTAGGATTAGGGGTGGGGTTAGGAATTAGGGGGTGGAGATGGATAGGATTAGGGGTGGGGTTAGGAATTAGGGGGTGGAGATGGGTAGGATTAGGGGTGGGGTTAGGGATCAGGTGGTGGAGAGGGGTAGGATTAGAGATGGGGTTTAGGAATCAGGGGGTAGAGATGGGTAGGATTAGGGGTGGAGTTAGGGATCAGGGGGCAGAGGTAGGTTTATGTATATGTAAGGTGGGAGAACTTGGTGGGATCTGGATCCAACTCCTCCCCCTGGATTTTGAGTTCTGCAGTGAGGACCATCTCCAAAAACTAAAGATGACTGAACTAAACTACAAACTAAAGATGGCTGCGTCCTTGTTTCTCTGGTGGTCAAGCTCTAGTGTTTTGGCGGATAAACATATGGTTGAAAACTAGATTAACAATTTATTTAACAAATAAATGCATTAATTTTCGACACTGCACGTTTGAACCACCTATAAATTTACCTTTACACCTTTACAAAAAAGTATTATAATATTATTTAGAGATGCACAATATGCAGATTTTAGCCAATATTAGAATGTTCCTTATCACAGGTGATTTGATTTTTTTTTTTTTTTTTTTTTTTTGAAAACAGACATTAAGCATATTATTTCAATTCAACTTCTAACCTTTTCTTTTCAAGTCAAACTTAACTATGCCAGATTATGAAAATGTTATGCACATTAAATAATTTTAATGGCTGATTTTACTTATTCTACTGTATTGATTTATAATATCAATCAACATATCAGCAGTCTGGATCACTAATATTTTTCTACTATACAGACATGTCACCAAAATCAACATTTAAATCAGATTTCTGGAATAAATTCATGTAATAAATTCATTTTTAATGCAAACTTCGCCACATCTCCATGTAAAACAAAGAGTTAACAGACTAAATTGAACAATTGAACAAGCATAATATCAAGCACATCTGTGCGCATCAGATTTATCCTCAATGTCCCATAATAAAACTGTCAGTGACAAGCATTTTGGCTCCAACAACAAACGGTACATCAGAACTGCTTTGGGTGCACGAGTCAATGACAACTGGAGCATTACCATGGAGGCAAATAACAATTTGTATTTACAAAAATAGGTCCGGGAGGCTGAAAGTTGCCTCCACATGCATTAACAGAAGCCCAGTTCTGCCCGAGAGTCGAATTGTCGCCCGATTACACATGTTCCCTGCTGTAGAATCTTATGGCTGTTCTTGGATATCATCTCAGCCTGCTCCAAATCCTCAAACGCTTCCGCTGCTACTCCGAAAATAAAATTGAGAAGGCCATGATGATACAGCAACACGCCACGTAAGGGCTTTTGCGCTCACCTGAAAGGTAATGTAAAAGATCATTACCACCAAAATAATACATCCGACTATATAAAAAACTCTACATGAATCGGCTATCTTTGACGTTACTTACCTATTCTTGCACATTTCCAGAATATTCCGAGAAATCTGAGGGCAAAAAGAAAGGGTTTAAGGTTAATGTTTGAACAGATATAATGTAAAAATTAAACTGAAACCAACTATTAACTATTAACAACAGCAGCAGCAGCCCTGGGAACTCATTTAAATAATAATAATAATAAAACAAATACTATGGAAGTCAAAGTTTGGTTACCGACATTTTTTAAAAAAAATATTATTTTGAGTTTAACAGAAGAAAGAAATTCATACAGGTATGGAACAACTTTAGGGTGAGTAAATGATGACAGTATTTTAATTTTTGCGTAAACTATCCCTTTAAAGGATAACTCTGGCGTAAAATGAACCTTTGGTCTAATAAAACATTGGTACCTAGTCGACCGTTCTCTAAGATTTGTTTTCATGATAATCGAATGTAAAAAGTTTTATCTCTAAAACTGTTTAGTGTATAATACTAGTATATGGGGGCATATAATAAGTACAACTAAATCGCTAGTTAATACAACTAACAAGGCTCAAAATAGCCCCACACTTACAGTAACATAATGAGGCTCCATACATGCAAAACGAAGCATTGAGAACTTTGTAAGTGTACAGACAGTTTAATAAGAAGATACATTATAAAGACCAATCGTTATAAAGTTCAATTCGTGAATACAGGCAGCAGCCATCTTTGGAAAATAGTCTCGATAAGTCGAACCAAGAATTTGACTTATCGAGACTGTTTTCAAAGATGGCTCCTGTCTGTATACACGAAGTGGACTGTCTTTATAAAATATCTTCTTATTAAACATTCAGTACATTTACAAAGTTCTCAATGCTTCGTTTTGCATGTAGGGACCCTCATTATGTTACTGTGTTAGTGTGGGGTTATTTTGAGCCTTGTTAGTTGTATTAACTAGCGATTTCTTTTTACTTATTAAATGCCCCCATATACTAGCGTTATACGCTAAACAGTTTTAGAGATAAAACTCTTTACATTCGATTATCATGAAAACACATCTCAGAGATCGGTCGACTAGGTACCAATGTTTTATTAGACCAAATGTTTTGACCATTTTGCGCCCGAGTGCTCCTTTAATATCTAATATGACCCATCCTGGAGATCCTGGAGGGCCACAACCCTGCAGAGTTTAGCTTCAACCCTAATTAAACACACCTGGGGCCTATACCATGAAGCCGGTTTAGGTGGCTAGCCAGGTATGTTTCAGTTTAGTTTGCGCCAACCCTAGGTTTTAGGCACCATTAAAGTGGTTTAGCTTTTAGCAGTGTTCATCACCATAGTAACTTGCGCTCCACAGCTAACCTGGTCCAGGGCAGGTTATGTTCCAGGTAAGAGGTTGCAAAACGAACTTGGACCAATCAGCTGTGAGCAAAATGACACGTCTGACGCGATAAATGCCGCGCAACAGGCAACCTGTAACTCCTGTAAATTCCAGGCAACCTGTAACCCGTGTTTTTCCAACCTTATACCCGTGAAAGTGCACTGTAACAGCAGTCAAACCCGTGACTTCCCACCCGAGAACTCGTACTAGATCCGTGTACTCCCAGTTACAAGCTCTGATGTCACATAGTCCGCGAAACCATACAAAACAATGGCAGATGCCCTACGGATGCAGTGTTTCTGCAGGCGGTACACGGTGAGAATACATTTTAGGACAGTATAACGTTAACTAGTTTTCAGTCCATTGAGAGCAAGGATAAATTAATACCAAAATTTCCAAATATAAAAATAAAGTAAAATAAAAGGAATAACAGCTTATCTTGCCTTATGTGCCGTTTTTCTTGCTCAGTTTCCCTCAAATAAATAAGGAGTAAGCACCTTTGGCGACAGAAATTATTACAAATGCGCATAAGCCCCGTAAAGTCCGCCATGCTGGTTTGTTTACATCTAGCTACCACAATTCCTTGCGCTCAGGTAGTTTGGCGTGACTGGCCTGGAATGCTACAAAGTCGTAAGTCGTGGTATGAAGTCGTGATTTACGTGCTCAAAAACCTGCCTGGAATGCAGCATAAGTCACTCCACCTGTTTCTACTAGAGCCCGACCGATAAAGGATTTTGAAGGCCGATACCGATACAAATATTTTTGGGTTTTAAAATCCGATATATCGGCCGATAATTTATTTATTTATTTGAAACTGGACATGATAGTCACAAATTGTGTCATGCTTATTTGAGTTAAGAGAACTGATGGGGATGTTCTTTTAATTGTTATTCAAGCAATGTATGTATCGTGACCAACTCAACAAGTGTTGCCAACAAGAACGGTGTAGAGTGCCCTCTGGTGGACAAACTATACAACTCCAACACTCATGACATGATTGAAGCGTGTTTCGTCCGTTTTTATTTTATTTTTTAAATATTCATTTATCGGCCATTATAACTGCCGATACCGACAGTTTGGAAAATGCCTAATATTGGCCGATAATATCGGTCTGGCTCTAGTTTCTACTCTAAATTAAAGGTCACTACATAGGAAATGATTAAAGACAAAATCATCTGGCTTTTAGTGATGCTTATTTAGAGTAATTAATGTGTATGATTTAGGAATTATTTAAGTAATTATTATACCCTTAAACGATCTCACATGTACAATTTCAGTTCATCAATTATTATTACGCAGATTTTAAACGAATACGTTTATAAAAGGTAATATTAAATATGCTTTAGAATCAATAAATGAAGCTATAAAATGACTACATGTGAGCTTAAGGCTCAATCCCAATTCACCCCTTGGCCCTACCCCTCCGTTTTGCGCGTTCACGTCTAGGGGTAGGGTGTCCCGATTCTTCTTGAGATCGAGGGGTAGGGCGAAGGGCTAGGGCTACATAGCCCTCGAAACTGAGATTTTTCAGAGGCACACTCCAAACGGAGGGCTAAGAGAAAAGTTCACGGAATGCATCGGAAATCACCGGCGAGATGGATCGCAAACGGTTAAACATTTAAATTTAGCGCCAGATGATTCCACCACACACTTTATTTACTATTATAATAACACTATAGTCGTTTAAATGAACAAATGGTATAATAAATTACCTTTCCGATCAGAAAAGACATACATTTCGAGGAAGGGATGTTATAATCATCATGTTTATTCAATGTTAAGAGCAGCTGCGCTGATTGTCAGTTGTTGTCACGGAGAAATCCTGTGCAAACTCTGTAACGGCAGAGCCATCGCCGACGACTGACGTATCGGGTTAATGAAGGGTTGTTCCATTTCATAGGGGAATATAAATTTAACCCCTTGGCCCTTGTAACGCCGTTTTAAGGGCCAAGGGGTACACTCGAAAACAAGGGGTAGGGCCAAGATGTTCAATTTTCTCTATACCTTTATCAACTGTATAAACTAACTTCACAACTTTTACTTGCACTGATATACAGTAACAAGACTATTTCTTTTAGTTTTCCTCTTTCATAGACAGCTATTTTCTTCTTGCTGTGTAAATTTCTTTTAAATTCTTAATAGTTTAATATGTTTAGTTAAGTGAATTGTGTTGCTTCTCTCTCTCTCTCTCTCTAGAAATTAATTTCAATGAGTTTTGAATGAGTTTCACTCTTTCTCAGCATGTGATTGGCTGTTCGCTATTGATGTCACACCTAAACTCAAGAGTTGATGATCGGCATCATGGTACCAACAAAGCCTGGTTGGATTGGTATGGTTTTGTCAACTCGAAACTAATCTTGCAACCCTGAGTTTGTTCAACTACCATCATGGTACAGGCCCCTGACAGGCTAATCAAGTCCTTCAGGCTTATTTGAAAACTGCATGTTTGTGTTTGTTGAAACTTAAAGGGTTAGTTCACCCAAAAATGAAAATTAAGTCATTAATTACTCACCCCCATGCTGTACCAACCCCGTAAGACCTTCGTTCGTCTTCGGAACACAAATGAAGATATTTTTGATTAAATTTGAGAGCTGTATAACTACCACATTGGCTCCTAAGGGACTGCCTCTTGACGGCCCAAAAAACTTAAATATCCCAAGTGACTACCGTGGCTCAACTATATGTTTATCAAGCGACGCGAATACTTTTTGTGCGAAAAAACAAACAAAAATAACGAGTTTATTCGACTATTTCTTTTCTTCCTTGTAGGCCAGAACGAGACTTCCTTATAGATTTCCACGACGCATGCGCGAGAATTGCGATCTGAAGTAGTGTAAGCTGGTGTAAGCAGATCGCAATTCTCGCGCATGCGTCGTGGAAATCTAAGGAATTCTCGTTCTGGCCTACAAGGAAGAAAAGAAATAGTCGAATAAACTCGTTATTTTTGTTTGTTTTTTCGCACAAAAAGTATTCGCGTCGCTTGATAAACATATAGTTGACCCACGGTAGTCACTTGGGATATTTAAACATTTTCTTCATTGACTTTTTGGGCCGTCAAGAGGCAGTCCCTTAGGAGCCAATGTGGTAGTTATACAGCTCTCAAATTTAATCAAAAATATCTTCATTTGTGTTCCGAAGACGAACGAAGGTCTTACGGGGTTGGTACAGCATGGGGGTGAGTAATTAATGACTTAATTTTCATTTTTGGGTGAACTAACCCTTTAACTCTGTAGGGCTGTGGACCTCCAGGAACTGAGTCTAACACCCCTGCACTAGAAGTTAGCCAAGAGTCAATCAGTCTTACTTTTCAGTCTGAAACTAGGCCAATATACACTTTTATGTAGCCGATTTCAATAATGTGACATGTAATTTGTAAGGCTAGTCTTAGCGCTTTTTGCAACCGACCCCTGTGCTGGATTTCATGGCTTAAACACACATTGACGAGTAAAAGAAAAAGCAGTCTTGCGGCAGAATCAGTCTGCTGACTGCTTGTCTAGGAAGCGTGAAGCAGAAGATTACAGGGGGGCAGAACTAGATGACTGACAAGATTCACCGGGGCTGAAATGTCATAACAGACGCCTGACAGAACTAAGATCTACGAGCAGACGGGCATCTGGCATGAACAGAAACAACAAACGGGTCAGCGAGAACATCCACTGTCAACAGTCTGCGCTGAGCCCCGGGAGCAAAACCGCACCTCTGTTTCCCCAAATTAAAGCAAGCCTTAACACACTTCTCCAGTAAACTCTTAAGATTTCATACCTAACAATCATTCACACATGATTTAATATTTGATGTCCTTTGATCCGATCATTTCCTTTGGAGCTGCCAGGTTCTGCCCATGAGTACTTTGCAGTAAGTCACCATAAATGGCAAACTGCAAAAGTTAGGAAGTGTTTTACAGTAAAAACAGTTACTGGTAAAAAACAAGGTAACGTTGTACGCAGTTTGAGGGAGGTGTGAAAAGCATTACTCTAATGAAGCAACTCCAGCTAACTTGTCTTGGATGGGGCATGTGTTTGTTGAGATCAGATCGCTGGATGTGATTCATGTAAATTATCTCCTTCATTTCCTGGTCCTGTCATGTGAAGTCCAAACATGTGGTGAACATCTTGTTGCTCTAATTCGAGATTAGAAGATTGCTTTACCTTACCCCCACAGATCTGCCCCCAAACCAACAATGACACTAAACTTAGATTAAATCAATTAGGAAAGTAAATAAAGGATGTTTTATTGTAAAATAGAGAATAGATTTCTGTTTACTTTTTGGCCATTAGAATAAATTCCCAGAACCCCCACCCCCCTCTTTTATGCTATTTTAAAGGTCCTAATTTTATTTTGAGGGTATCCAACAATAAGGTAAAAAAAAAAAAAAAAACTTTCATTTTTGCATAATATATATTGCAGCCTCGCTTCTTTTCTCACCGTCTCTGGACATTCTCTCTCTAAACCCTTAATCTCCAGAGCTCTACTCTGATTGGTCAAATGACCCAGACTGTTATGATTGATCAACCCTGCTCTGATTGGTCAAATGACCCAGCCTGTTGCGATTGGTCTTCTCTGCTCTGATTGGTCAGATGCCCCAGTCTGTTGTGATTGGTCAACTCTGCTCTGATTGGTCAGGTGCCGCAGTCTTCTACTCTACTCTGATTGGTCAGATGACCCAGTCTGTTATGATTGATCAACCCTGCTCTGATTGGTCAAATGACCCAGCCTGTTGCGATTGGTCTTCTCTGCTCTGATTGGTCAGATGACCCAGTCTGTTGTGATTCGTCTACCCTGCTCTGATTGGTCAGATGGCCCAGGTCTTTTGTGATTGGTCTACTCTGCTCTGATTGGTCAGATGGCCCAGGTCTGTTGTGATTGGTCTACTCTGCTCTGATTGGTCAAATGACCCAGACTGTTGTGATTGATCTACTTGGCTCTGATTGATCAGATAGCCCAGACTGTTGTGATTGGTCAACTCTACTCTGATTGGTCAAATGACCCAGACTATTATAATTGGTCAACTTTGCTCTGATTGGTCAGATTGCCCAGACTGTTGTGATTGGTCTACTCTACTCCGATTGGTCAGATGACCCAGTCTGTTGTGATTCGTCTACCCTGCTCTGATTGGTCAGATGGCCCAGGTCTGTTGTGATTGGTCTACTCTGCTCTGATTGGTCAAATGACCCAGACTGTTGTGATTGGTTTACTTTGCACTGATTGGTCAGATGGCCCAGAGTGTTGTGATTCGTCAACTCTGCTCTGATTGGTCAAATGACCCAGACTGTTGTGACTGGTCTACTCTGATCTGACTGGTCAGATGACTCAGACTGTTGTGATTGGTCAACTCTGCTCTGATTGGACAGATGGCCCAGTCTGTTGTGATTGGTCTACTCTGCTCTAATTGGTCAGATGACTCAGACTGTTGTGATTGGTCAACTCTGCTCTGATTTGTCAGATGATCCAGACTGATGTGATTGGTCAGCTCCACTCTGATTGGTCAGATGGCCCAGACTGTTGTGATATGCCAACTCTGTTCTGATTGGTCAAATGACCCAGACTGTTGTGATTGGTTTACTTTGCACTGATTGGTCAGATGGCCCAGAGTGTTGTGATTGGTCAACTCTGCTCTGATTGGTCAGATGACTCTGACTGTTGTGATTGGTCAACTCTGCTCTGATTGGTCAGATGGCCCAATCTGTTATGATCATCCCAGTCGTTTGTGCTTCTTCAAGCTTAAGATATTGATGAGTGCGCACTCTGTTTGTGAGAGAAGCACCCAACACATGTTAAAACATATATTTACTCTTCTAGCTGACTCAGACAGCCAAGGTCACTGGGGTCACTCAGGCCAGGCTCCTACGTGACCAACTCTTAGTTAAAGAATTTACCATACTTCTCATATTCAATCACCAGAGAATAATGACGAATATTGTCTGAACCTCTGATTGAAAGTACATCTTGTCAGTATGTTTTGAGAAAGTTTCCCAATCAGAGCTAGACTATCTCCAACCTTTAAGAAGCTGTGTATCTGTATGTGTGTGTGTGTGTGTGTGTTTATATGTCAGTATCCTTTATTAAAGGACCAGATCTTCGTAATATGAGCAACTGCCACGCACAAATGATGAAAAAATGCTTGTGTTGTTGAGTATAATTTGAAATAATTGGAAACGACAACATGATCCAAACTTCAAGTCTCAGTTACAACTACAGTATTTGAAGCCGGGGCAAAGAACAGGCAATGAAAACCATAGGCTGATATTATGCAAATTGTTACAAACATAGTAGGTTTGTGCAGAAAGTAAGAGTGGAATTACTGACGACTCGTTTCAGGCCATTCAAAATAGTTTTTTTAGGACTCAATAACTCCAAATGTCATCCACTTGAATCTTTGTAGACTTTTTACATTCAAAAACAGTTATATTATATTAGTAATATAACACACTGCATAAAAGGTAATATCCCAAAAGCACAATAGGGGCAATTTAATTATGAAAAAAATTACACAAAATATAAAACAAAAGCAAACCTGTTTGGACAGCATCTTTTTTTTTTTTTTTTTTTTTTTTTAAGGGGGAAGTTATTGCATTAGTGATGACAATGACGCTTAATTCTAGTTCTACATTCTAATTCTACAGCATTGACAATGGCGATATTGATGATGATAATAATAATAATAATAATAATAGTAATAATAATAATAATAAATGACAATGATGATGGCAGTGGTGACAACAACGGTGAGAGCAAAAGACAGCAACAACAGCAATTACAACAATGAAACAACAAAAAATAAAATAAAAGTGAAAATAGTAATCATAACAGTGACAGTAAAGATAGCAATAACAATGATGACAAAAACAAGTTCGAACAACTAAAATGCACAAATATTCGTGGGTTGGTTATAGTCTGAGTTAAGAACAGAGATAGGATTAATAGCTGTAAGAGGTCAGAAAGTGTTGGACGGTAGAGGTCAGTTTCAGATGTGTAATTATGAAGGGGAGATGCAAGTTCCATTGCAATGAAGTCTGTTATAAGATTTTTCCAAATGTTAATGTGTAATTTATTTCTGGTTTTCCAGTTCATGAGGATAGTTTTCTTGGCGATGGTTAGCGCTATGAGGAGTATTTTAGAGTTTATAGTTTTTTATAGTTTTATAGTTTTGGACAGCATCTTTAACGTTTCATCTGTCTATAGGTGCTTAAAGCGAAAAGTCTTTCTTAACAGGCATATTTATTTTAAAAATGTCAGAATGTGTGCTATATAAATATGCAGATGGCAGTAAACATACCCCGTTTTGTTCTTATCCAGCAGGGTGGGAGTGAGAGCTCGAATATACGCACAGGTGCAGATGAGCAGCAAGATAACAGTCAACAGACTCTGGAAATTAAATATGGCAGACTGCAAGAGAAACATAGGGGAAATGAATAATTACGCACTTATTAATGAACAACTAAACTTGTGAAGCACTGTAACAAATACATAAATATTTAATTTACATTTAGAAAGCATTATTTGTTTATTTAATGGTTCAGCTGATTAAATATTTGTTACAGTTATTCTTTCATAAACTGACTAAAAAAAAACAGTGATGTGTGTCTTGGCAAAACCCCAACATTATACCAAACCATTATTTTTGGTATAAGAGCCTAGTATGCATTCGCTCTGAGGCAAGTGTTATGTACAAAGCAAAAATTAATTAGTTTTCATATAAAAATAAAAAAAAAACATGCAAAGAAACACAACAGTGATTCCAATGAAATCTGCAGTCATGTATTCTAGCAGAGCATTTACAGTCTTTTGCATGATTTACAGTTACTTCTGTATTGTACAGGTAACAACCGTAATTGTCCAAAAAATTGAGATCCAATTTAATTGAGGCATTCACATAAAAATCCCATGAAAATCACTTCCAAAAATGACAACTTTCATCTTAATTTAGTGATTGCATTTCAATATTACTTATTTACTCACTTTCTCTCTCTCTCTGTGTGTGTGTATATAATATATATATGTATATATATATATTGCAATATTATTAATTCACTCACTATATATACACACACATTCTATAATGTCAATTATTCATTTGATTGCTGAATTTTTATTAACCATTACTTCATCTTAAGTTCGTGATTGCATTTACTGTTTTCTTTGCAGATTTCATAAATATGAAAATACTCTTCTTGGTGCATTTTAATGACATTTTACTTGAGTTCAAGGCCCATGTTCTCACTGCCACATCACACTCGCAGCTCAGTAAGTTAATACATAATCAAATGGTGTTTTCAACAGAACTCAACCGTGACAGTTCAGAACGATAGTTACAAACACAGCTCACAGATTCATTCATCCACACAGCACTGCATTCATCCACACGAGCAGCTGCTTTCTGTTCTTTAATTCCTGCATCACATTTTACTTCTGCTAACATCGTCTTCAGTTTCACTGCACCATTGACAGATATATCTCGATATTAGACGACATGTGACGACATGCCAGTCAATAAAATCAACCTGACAGCTCGTTTCTACTTCCCGTTTTTACAACTATTTTAAAATACAAGTTTAATACTCACCATCTTGATATCCCCCGGCCAGCCAACTCACACTTCCGGTGTAAGATGGAAATGACGTCAGCAGTACGGCAGCCTGGAAGCGCGAAGTGTCGAAAATCCGGATGGCCAGAGAGGAATGAAAGCAACTGCTGCTGCAGGAGTGTTTTGGTTACTTTGAATTAAAACTCAACATCCATTTCCTCTCAGAATGAGGTGAGACTTTGCAATGTGATCCCGATATGACTGAGTTCGGTGGCAAATGCGCCTGTTTATGATAATTATGATGGTGTTTGTGTTTTCTGTTGATATTCTAATCAGTTTCCTTACATAACCAAAACACAAGCTAATATTTCTGCATCAGTCATAAAATGATACACCTAAAAGGCATAAATCAGCAAGAAACATAGTTATGAGAAACATTGTTTGCCTTATTTATAAGAAAATGTAATTTAAGAGTAATATAATATAAATCAGAAATATAAGAGCAGCATTGAAGAGGGTTGTGTTATCAACATTTATTTGACCTAGAAATCCTGTTTTTGTTTTGATTCCTTTGATCCCCGTAATTGGTATTATTGCTGTAAAATAATAATATTTAATAAATAAAAGTTTAACTCCATTTTTGGATTTTATTAACAGGACATTCCATTAATAGGACATTCCATATATAATATATATGGTATATTAATAATGAATACATAAAAAACATGTATCTTTATATATATATATATATATATATATCATCTTATAATAATAAATACATAAAGTAAACACACACACACACACACACATATTATTGTTATAATTATTATTTATTATACAGCCATTGGTATATATATATATATATATATATATATATATATATATATATATATATATATGTGTGTGTGTGTGTGTAATGTCATAAATGTATTATTGACATTCCATATATGAATGAACATTGTGTGTATGAATGGGTGGCAATGTGTAAAGTGTTTTGGTGGCCATGGGTCTGTTGTAAGCGCTCTATAAATGCAGTCCATTTACCATTATTAATTTCTTATATACTAATGCCAATGTGATTGCTGTATTGTCAGTAGGCCTATCTATGATATTTTGGTGGGAACTATAGTTACCATGGCAAGATTTCATAAGGGTAAAATGAGATATGAATTAACATAATGTAGTCATATGTAAAAAGGCATGGTGCAGGTCTTTGAATTATTATAGTGTTTCCAGCACAAAAACTATAGAGATGTCTTTTCCATGTGGCACTGGAACTTTGTTTTTGTTTTGTTCCCTTTTTCACATAAGGGTCATTCGTTGTCAAAGGCTCTTCGGCTAAAATTTTAGATTTTTTTTTTTATTTACTGAATCCAATATATTTTGTAGAGGGTGTTAAAATGACAATTTTCACCTGAGACTTGGAGCCAAATTACATAAAAATGACTTTTTCATAAAAAAGATTTTAGCAATCTTTGTTGCATTATATGTCACCGGTGATTGATTTTTGACATGGAATGATCCATAAACACAAATTGGGATGTAGTATGAACTTTTTATCCTTTTGACAAACACTTATATAAATGTTTACAGCCATTTATTTAGAATGAAATTACATCATATTTGTCAGAAGCTGAGGTTTTTATCTTTTTTGCAAAGATGTTTTCAGAAATGTATTCATTTAAGTATATAGCTGAGGTTTTTGTGGTCTGTGACATCATACTATCATCACACGGTCCGTGTCCATATCATTTCCTTTTCCAATGATGCTCTCTGGTGATTCTGTCAAACTAAAAATGTGTGTATGGATGTACAAAACACAAGCCATTGGTTTCAACAATCTCTTTTTTCATTGAGCATTTTTAGCATGGAAATAGTGTGGCTTTTCCCTTTTTTTAAAAAAGAGTTGGAGAATTGATTCATTGTGTTTTGTATTTGACCGCTGATGACTTTTGGGATCAGGAAATAGTACTCAATTCAGCAAGCCATAAATCCTTAGCTTTTGGTGGCCTATGTATATCTCTATTCATGCATTGAGAACATGTTGCTCAGATGCAGCAAAAAAATCTGAAATATGCCAAATGTGGAGTACAGAATTTTTTTTTTGTCTCATGAAACCTTTAAAGTCAGGGTTTGGCTCATATTTCTTGTTAAATCAAAAGAACATTTACGACATTTAATTAAAAGTATATTTAGTTTGTGACTTTATTTTCTTGACAGCTAAACATATTCAGCCCAAATTAGAACTGTAATTTTAAAAAAAGATCATTTTTACTGTAATGCAAATATAATTAATCTGATTTAAATTTAAAGCATTTATACATCATGGTACTATTTGATGAATTTAATTTACAATGATTTAAAAGAAACATTTATGTAATGCAGTGATAAAAATTGCAGGCAAACTGTGTTTAATTAAATTGCTTTTATAATAATCTCCCAAAGAAGATTATATATTTATGCTAAATAAAATGTTTTCTTGTTTTTTTTATTTCGATTTTTGGGTGAAACCCAGATATGTCTTCATGATTTTCACTCTTGAGAGACTTCCTTTAGCTTCCACAGCTGTGCTGGACAGAAGAGACAGTAAAACATTTTTTGTGCATATTTCATAAGAAGAGATTGTCAGTGCAGAATGTCAGTCTTGTTTAGACAAGAGGGTTTTGTTGAGTTACTCGTGACCATCTGTGACGGAGTGGAATGTTTCTTAATTACACCTCCGTGTCGCTCAGAAGCTCTCACATATATTATTAAGAAACCAATAATCTTAAATGACTGGTAGTGTGAGTTTGACCCAGACCTTCACGATTATAAGTCCCTCCTGTTACATTGTTTTGTCCATTTTAAACAGGCATTTCAAACAAATTCTGTTCATATTAACTCTTTATTCATCAAAGAATTGTGAAAAAAATAGAATGGGGTTGTACAAAATTACCAAATTTCATTGCACAGCATCTCAAATGTTGATTTGATCATTCTGAAATGCCACAGTATCTGTCATCAAAATGATTGGGTAAAATTCCTCCCAGAACTGTCTCACGTGATTGTCTTCCCAAACAGCGTCTCAGAGGTGCAATTTATGATTAGGTTAAAGGAGTAGTTCACTTTAAAAAAAAAAAAAAACGTTTGCTGATAATTTACTCACCCCCATGTCATCCAAGATGTCCATGTCTTTCTTTCTTCAGTTGAAAAGAAATGAAGGTTAATGATGAAAACATTCCAGGATTTTCTCCATGTAATAGACTTCATTGGGAACCAAACGGTTCACGGTCCAAATGAGAGTTTCATTGCCGCTTCAAAGGGCTTTAAACGACACCAGACGATTAATAAGGGTCTTATCTAGCGAAACGATCAGTCATTTAAAAAATAAATAAAAAAGTTTAAGTTTTATAAGCTCAAATGCTCGCCTTGCTCTGTTCTGTGATGAGCGTTCGTGACTCTCCTGTTCATAATCGTTCATCAAAATGAACAAATCTTTTTTCGAGTCATGACTAGTTAAGACCCTTATTCATCATCTGGTGTCGTTTAAAGCCCTTTGAAGCTGCACTGAAACTCTCATTTGGACCTTGAACCGTTTGGTTCCCAATGAAGTCCATTTTATGGAGAAAATCCTGGAATGTTTTCATCAAAAACCTTAATTTCTTTTCGACTGAAGAAAGAATGACATGGACATCTTGGATGACAGGGGGGTGAGTAAATTATCAGACAAAAGTTTTTTTTTTTTTTTTAAAGTGAACTACTCCTTTAAAAGATGTTCCCCAATTGTAGAAACTTCTATTTTTATTACAGATATTTTGCACCAATTTCCCAGGAAGTGACTATTTTGTTTTCTTTAGCACATGGGATGGAAACAGTGTTTTATGTAATATTTCAAAGGTAAATTTGCAGCTTTGGCTTATGACATCCATTGTTTTGCGTGCTCTTTTTTTGTTATCACGATGGCCCCCACTTAATTCCTTATCCCCTCTCATTCCCGAATCCTATGTATGGAAAGTGACTTGAGATCTGCTTCACCACCTTCTAGAAGAACAGCTTTCTCTCATCCACCATTACCCAGGCCAGCGAGACGCTGCTGGAAAGATAGCGGTCGAGTCATAGGCGCATGTTCTGGATTGGAATATATGGCACATATAACTTGTTTTGTTTGGATGAAACAGCTGTGTATAAATGTTTGGGTAATTAGATTGAACTTCTTGAGAACTGAGCCACATCCTGAGGTTTCCACCCTGACCCCCTCTTGTCTTCTCAGCCACATCTAAAGAGAATTCTTTGTCTTATTTGTCAAAGCCGCCTTCTCATATTCTTATAGGCTTCATCTGTCATTACCGAGGACGAAAAATCACCTCTGTGCAGATGTTACTGTAGCTAATGAATGGCTGTCCTGTTCCCTTGGTTCTTCAGATACGACGAGTCAACGACCCCCGCTGTTCCAATCACTTTGGCCAAAAGTCACGTCAAAAATAGCAACAATTTGGTTAGTGATGCGTGACGGGAGGGAAACAGATGTATACTGTTCACTCAGGGCTTTGGACACATTGATTATCAGTTTGACAAGCAAGCTAAAGTCAGTCAACACAGATATACTGCATGTTGTCCTTCACCTTTCCCCTCGCCGCTGCACTTTGTCAGCTCTGACCTGAGAGGTCAGATGTTTCTCACACATCACTCTCTGGATATTGCTGACTGCTGTAAGGTGTGACTCCATCTGGCAATGGTCGAGCGGTATCTAGAAAGAATGACTAGGCATTCAATGGATTTTGCAGAGTTTTACAAGTTTTCTGACCATTGCATGGTCATTTTTTGACTAATTTATAAAGGTTTTTAGCTATCAAGAGTTTGGTACTTTGGTACTTTCACATTTTACCTTATTTAAATGAATTTCACAGAATTCTATAGGTTTGCACAAGAATTCAGTACTGCAGATTCAGTCTGATGCTGCGTTCATGTGCTATGGTAATTATGGTAAATACCAAAAGCCGACGTGGAAAATGCACATGAACACCCCCTCATGTGGTATTTTCAAGTGGGCAACTCGTAGAATATTTTGATGGACGAGTTGCCGAGATGAGATAACCTTTGAACTTTTCAAAATGGCGGAGAGCTCCGCAAGAGTCGTGAATGGTAAAAATATGTACTATTCATGATCTAGAAAATATATATAGCATATTATTTACCTTTTGAGTTTTGATAAATCATTTTCTTGCTGTTGCAGATGACTTGAGCAATCTAAAATAGTTTTAGCTAAATAACAGGTCTGGATCTCCATCTTTTTACCACATTAAGACAACAAAAGCACTTGAACGCAACACACTGGTAAGGATCAGTTCACAAGTGGAAAATATCCTACTTTCCATAGCACGTGAACGCAGCATGAGTCTTTACTGATAATTTTAATTTATATACACTCACCTAAAGGATTATTAGGAACAACTGTTCAATTTCTCAGCAATGCAATTATCTAATCAACCAATCACATGTCAGTTGCTTCAATGCATTTAGGGGTGTGGTCCTGGTCAAGACAATCTCCTGAACTCCAAACTGAATGTCAGAATGGGAAAGAAAGGTGATTTAAGCAATTTTGAGCGTGGCATGGTTGTTTGTGCCAGACAGGCCGGTCTGAGTATTTCACAATCTGCTTAGTTACTGGGATTTTCACGCGCAACCATTTCTAGGGTTTACAAAGGATGGTGTGAAAAGGGAAAAATGTCCAGTATGCGGCAGTCCTGTGGGCGAAAATGCCTTGTTGATGCTAGAGGTCAGAGAAGAATGGGCCGACTGATTCAAGCTGATAGAAGAGCAACTTTGACTGAAATAAGCATTTGTGAAGCCTCAACACGCACAACCTTGAGGCGGATGGGCTACAACAGCAGAAGACCCCACCGGGTGCCACTCATCTCCACTACAAATAGGAAAAAGAGGCTACAATTTGCAAGAGCTCACCAAAATTGGACAGTTGAAGACTGGAAAAATGTTGCCTGGTCTGATGAGTCTCGGTTTCTGTTGAGACATTCAGATGGTGGTGTGGGGGATGTTTTCTTGGCAGATTTTAGACTCCTTAGTGCCAATTGGGCATCGTTTAAATGCCACAGCCTACCTGAACATTGTTTCTGACCATGTCCATCCCTTTATGGCCATTATTTACCCTCTGATGACTACTTCCAGCAGGATAATGCACCATGTTACAAAGCTTGAATCATTTCAAATTGGTTTTCCGATTGGTTTCTAGAGAATATTTTCAGCACCTTGTTGAATCAATGCCATGTAGAATTAAGGCAGTTCTGAAGGTGAAAGGGGGTCAAACACAGTATTAGTATGGTGTTCCTAATAATCCTTCAGGTGAGTATGTATGTACATATATACTGTGTAATGATATATATATAATGAATATTATGTAATGATGTTATTATGCTCATGTTTTCTGCAGGTGTCGTAGCACTAGCGTGCGTCAGATCTCCATTTCCTCTGAGCCTCATCGCATTTTCTTTCTCAAGCTAGAATGGGCTGAGGATCTCGGATCTGGCTTCATCATCCTCCTGTCCGATGGCGTCTCTGCATGGAGTGGTGAAGGTAGGAAGTCAAATGATCACATTTAAATGACATTAACATCCTTCAAAACTGCCATGAATGTGCTTTTGGTTTCAAACCACATGGCCTTTGCCTGGGTTGATTGTTTAGTCTCAGAGGAGGACGTGTCCCGTGAAGCTCAGGACATGGAGATGGAGCGAGAGCGGTACGTTAGTGACCTGCACCTGGCTTTGACCGGTGAGGGCCCGGCAGCGGAGGGGGAGTACAGCTTCCAGCTGACACCTGAGATACCCAGAAGCCCCCTGCTGCAGCTGTCTTATGAGAAGGTGCAGAACGACATCTCGGTGAGTGGCACGCAGGACAGAGTGATGTAATAGTCTCACTGATTGACACACACTTGCCTTGTATGCAAACAAGGTTCGAAAATGAACACTCGCAGAGCAAATGCAAAAAGTTGGCCAGATGTTTGAGTAAAATATTCCCCAATATAATAAATGCGGAGCGAAGTCACAAAAGTGAAATCATTCCTTTTCAAGAGAGATAATACTATATTTTTGAATAAAAATAAAGTAAAATACTTAATTACTTATTGGCTGATAAGGGCTTTTTTTTGTGAGGTAACTTTTTCTTCATGTTCTGTCCATCCATCCATCTATTAAAAACGTTTATATGTATTTTAAAAATGTGTTTATTTCTAATTTTAGATGGATGGATGGATAAATAGATTGTTAGATGGAAATGAAGAGATAGATGGATGAATGGATAGATGGACAGATAGTTTAGAAATAGATAGATAGATAGATGGATTCTTGAAATACAATGGATGTATAGGATATGGATAATAGATAGATGGATGGATGGATGGATGGATGGATGGATGGATGGATGGATTCTTGAAATACAATGGATGTATAGGATATGGATAATAGATAGATAGATAGATAGATAGATAGATAGATAGATAGATAGATAGATAGATAGATAGATAGATAGATAGATAGATAGATAGATAGATAGATATTTCATACATTTATATGAGATGCAAAAATTGTTAAATCATTGTTTGATCACCTTTTTGTTAGTTTGTTGCAATTGTCCGTTCCTTCATTTATTTGTTTATTCATTACGGTCTCGACCATTGGTCTTGTTCATCTTCATGAACACGTCTGTTGATTCTGTCTGTTCTGATTCTGTCCATCAATTTCTCGTTCTTTTGCTTGTTCATGCTCTTGCTCGTTCGTTCCTCAATGGGAACACATCTGTTTCATGGATGAGAGAAGGGCTGTGTGATTCAGCTTGCTTAAGGCTCTACTGCACTTGTGATCAACAGAAATCACTCTCAGCCAAAATCACTCTCAACACTTAACCATTCCCAGAGAACTACTGCTCTTTATGTCGAGCTTTAAAGGAGGTTCCCCTCGTTTGATCTCTTGCCAAGCTCAAGGGTGCCGAGGAACTCCAGTGTCTGGGAAGTCTATGCTAAACTCTAACCTCAATACATAGATCACGAGCCGGATTCAAGTATGTTTTTTTTCACTCTACTGCATTTTTTAATGTTAAATCCATCCATCATTTCTGTGTAGTGTGAATGTAGCAGAAAAGGTCTGTTAGTTGAGCAATTGTGCGGCATAATTATTGAAGCCTGGAGAAAGATGAATCTGACATGAGGTTTGTTTTGTCTTAAACGACTCTCAGGAGAGTTCCTTCACTCTGAACGTCTCGTTCTGAATTCAGACCTGTCTTAAATTGAAGCCAATTTTTGCACGCTTATTATTAATGGATTAAGTGGAGTAGCCTCTTTAACATGAGATGTTTCCAAGTAGTATTGGAGATGGACAGATGCACTATATGGATAGACAGGGCTCCAGACTGAGAACTTTTTTCGTGCTGGTGCAGCAAAATTTTGTTAGAGGTCACACTCGTGCCACCAACCCGTTGCCCAACATGGGAAGGGCTCCTGTGACTTGCACTAAAGTACAGAAACAAACCCTATACCCTGGCCATTCACATTCATCTGCCAGTAAATACATGATCATTTGCACTTTATCCTTTTCTTTAACTTCTACACGCCATTTCCTTACATTTCTTATACACTACTGTCTGTCTATCTATCTATCTATCTATCTATCTATCTATCTATCTATCTATCTATCTATCTATCTATCTATCTATCTATCTATCTATCTATCTATCTATCTATCTATCTATCTATCTATCTATCTATCTATCTATCTATCTATCTATCTATCTATCTATCTATCTATCTATCTATCTATCTATCTGTCTGTCTGTCTATCTGTCTGTCTGTCTGTCTGTCTGTCTGTCTGTCTGTCTGTCTGTCTATCTAGCTATCTATCTATCTATCATCTATCTATCATCTATCTGCATTTATTTGGTAAAAATAGAGTAAAAACAAAAGTGATTTTGTGAAACATTATTAATATGCAAAATAAAAAAATATTTATAATAAAGATAATTAAGTATTTTAAAATGTAATTTATGCAAAGCTGACTTTTCAGCATCATTACTCCAGTCTTCAGTGTCACATGATCCTTCAGAAATCATTGTAATATCAAGAAACATTTATTATTATTATCAATGATGAAAACAGTTGTGCTGCTTAATATTTTTTATGGAAACTGCGAAACCTTTTTTTTTTTCAGGATTCTTTAATGAATAGAAAGTTCAAAAGAACAACATTTATTTGAATTGGAATTTGAAGGCCGGAGCAAAAGCACAACAATATGGAAATTATTTTTATAAAAATGATAATGATATAGACTGTATTGGTAAATGTAAAAGTCTGCTGAATTTTGATGGCTAAATGGTATTTCTGTCCTGTCCCTCTCAGAACAGATTTGTGGCCCTCCAGTTAAAGGAGAACTCCGGTCAATTTTAAACATTGAGCTCATTTTTTTGTACATTTGGAGTGCTGTCAGTACAGACAAAAACGACAAAAATCGGTGTTGCCTACACCATGTTATCGTCCTTTTAAAATTCACACCCTGTTGACTTCAATGGGGGCATGTTCCAAACCTGCTTTTAGCCTCTTAACATCCTTGATTTGTCATTACGGGTGCACAGCCATGTGAGTGGTGTTATTAAGAGTCACCACGGTCAATCTGACTGCAGTAGATGTGAAAGATATGAATAAAAATTATATTAATTCAGCCAGCTCACGTACCTCTATTTGCTTCCTGTTTTCGGTCGAAACCCACAGTAGTCAATTGTTGATCTCACACGCGTGATCATTGGTGAATATCATCTCATACCTCCTCCGTATTTTCAACATCTGATTCGGATGAACTATCCATTTGAGCTGATATTCTCAGAACACCACACAGTGGTAGGTTTGAGATGATATTCACCAATGATCGCGCGCATGAACTCGACAATCGACTACTGTGGGCTTCGACCGAAAACAGGAAGCAAATAGAGGTACGTGAGCTGGCTGAATTAACATATTTTTTATTCATATCTTTCACATCTGCTGCAGTCAGATTGACCATGGTCACTCTTAATAACACCACTCACATGGATGTGCACTCGTAATGACAAATCAAGGATGTTAAGAGGCTAAAAGCAATTTTCGAATTTGCCCCATTGAAGTCAACAGAGTGCGAATTTTGAAAAGACGATAACACGGTGTATAGGCAACACCGATTTTTTTATTTTTTTGTCTGTACTGACAGCACTCCAAATGTACCAAAAAATGAGCTCAATGTTAAAATTGACCGGAGTTCACCGTTAAGAACTGCAAAAGTGTTGTAAGTTGTTTTGTAGGCTTGAAAATCTGGTGAAATTGTTAAATTATCTGTTATTTTCTTACATTCCTCAAAACTCCCTATTGCTCAACTCAACAGATGCAATCATGTCATTTTCAATCTTAAGTTATTTCTCTTTTCTTTTTCGGTTTTGCTGTCACAGCAGAGGTGACTAAATGGAAATGGCATGTGTCTGTTTGGAAAAAAGGAAACTGACCCTTGGCAGGAGAGGGAAGATTTGCCAAATGCGTAATTTTGTGTGAAAGTCGTCATTAGATTGCTTGTTGACATTTGTGTGGTTTTCTGTAACATTTGTAGCGATTCTTAGCTCACATAAAGGGAATATAATTTTAATAACTGGTCATGAATATGTCCAGTAATCGCATTCATAGATTAAAATGTTACCAATGGTCTGTATGGACAACTGAATACAACGAATTATACTCAGTTTTCCATACAGGTAGGCAAAATTAGATCAATTTACTTTTTTACTTACTTACTTACTTAGTATTCAGTATTGACAAATTTGTAAAGCTTGTAGCTTGATCGAACAATCGAGTCAGTCAAATGCATATAATGTATTTAATAAAGGAAAAGTACGTATAGATGTAAACTAAAGTTACACGGAATAAATGTATATACAACAGATTAAAGTAATAAAACCATGAAAGAAAATTAGAGATAAAAGAGGTAGAAAGTGGTCAACAGTATGGCAAAATCACAGAGAAAAGAACCTTGAGAGAGAGAGAGACACCAAGATATCAAATTACCCTAAATGGGGTAAACAAATCTTGAAAGCTTGATAAAACAAATACTTCTCTTATGTTGCTGAGTAAGGAATGCACGTGGTTGTCATTCCTTCTGAGCGTCACGCATTCTCCGTGGTTCTTCCGGTGTACGGAGGTGCGGCGGATTTAAAGGTTACTCAAAGAAAAAAAAAATCAGGCTAAGTTCATTTCACTCATCTGTGGAAATGAACAAAGTAGAATATAAAATGGAAAAACAAAAGAAAACTAAACTAACAGACTCAAGAGAAGATCTTGAAGAGGAAGTGTTCGAAGAGAGAAGAGGATGAAGAGGTGAAGTAGCGTTCCATCCTTTAGGGGTGAACAGCCAATCACCTTCGAGAGTTGTGAGCTGGAAGATGTTCCTTTGTCTTGTCAGGACGGCCTAATTTGCATGTCTTTTGGCAGTGAAAGAAACGTGGTCCGTCTCTCTTCAGAGATGGTAAAACATAGTACATTTTTTATAGTAAATAGTTTATCATAATTTACTATATAGATTCAGTTAACGCAAACCCAGAGTTACGGGTGAGAGTCAAAGGGTTAAAGGGATAGTTCACTTTGAAATTATTTTTGGTATGGATGTATTATTGGTGGATGTAGATGTCTTTGTTTCCACAGTAGTTTTAATTTTGATATTTTTAGGTCAAACCGTTCTTGTCTGTCAGTCATATAATGCAGGTCTATGGTCACCACTTCAAAGAGCATGCACAGAGAAGTCCAAATTAAACATGATTTAATGACTCGTAAATGTAAGTACACATTGATGGCCTAAGACACGAAATGAGCGGTTTGTGT